TATGCGAAGACGTGGACCTACATACGCAAATTTTGATAATATGCTCTTGTAGCCATTAAGACCTTCAAATTTGAAACAATTCTGGTAGAATATGTCGCTGAAGTCATTAAAATACCGAATATCGGGTAAACAGTTATATGGAGGCTATAAGAATACGTGGACCTGCATAGAAAGTTTCCTGTCATAGATTGTAGTACCCGTTCAAATACGGAGTTTCAAATAATTCCGGAAAATATTGCGCCTAAAATCATCAAAATACCGAATATCGGGAGGTACCGTTATATGGGGGTTATACGAAAAAGTTAAGTCGAAAATCGACTTAGAATTTTACGCTGATCAATAATGTATATACTTTGTTGTGTCTGACATGCGTATTTCCATGAGTTATAAAAAGAATGATAAACTTAATATGCCTAATATGGAGGGTGTAAAATTCATTCATTAATTATTTCTAGGCTCCTTCTTTCTGGTGAAAAATTTTAGGTCATATGTACATATCCACAACGTCAACAATAACACACCCTTTTCTACAATTAACACAAGATTATGAAAATAAAATAATTATCACAATTGGCACACATTCTCAAGTAACTCCCATTGCAACCTCCAACCAATTCTAGTATAAAAAGCCAACGCCAAGTTATGTGTGTTAATATGTAAAACACAATTAACGCACTTTAAATTAAACAAAACACATGTGTAATTACAACGTGGGATGTATTCATATTTTCAGAAAATTCCAATTGTTTAATGTCTAAAATATAATAAAAATTCACTTGCAACACCGTCAGCTCAGCAACAAATGTCGGTCTGATGGTGCTACAGATAACATTGATTACAGCCAAGTTCTCTCAACACCTCAAACACCCACTGTCTGCTTTGGTCTTAAAATGAGTTTAAAACAAAAAAAAAAAAAAAACTAACAACAAAAACGAATACGAAAATATGCAACATCAAACCGTCAAGCAACTCCTACAAATAACAGTGATATCTAACGATCTAGCTGCAGCAATCAACAACCACAACAACAGCAGCAACCTTAAACAAATATAAATCCAAGTCGCAATTAATGTGCAACAAAGCGTTGCAGATGAAAATGAAAACGAGCAGAAACACACAGACATGTATGATAGCTTGATCGTCTTGTTGAATCCTACAATTGGGTTTCATTCCGGCGCCGACGACTACGAAACCGAAACAAAAACCCATTTGCTGAGTTATTCATGAATGAATGATAAATGAATTTTTGATATGGGCCAGTAGTATCAACGACTGAAGACCAATAAAAAAAGTAACTGACGACTACTTAGTGTTCGACCAGTCTGATAATGAATTACAAACGGCCGTTGTCAATTAATAAATAATTATTGCAATTGTGTATAAATTATGTTGTTTAATGGTCAGGGGAATTGTTTGAGTGTACCAAGGACACTGAAGAATGAACTCTTCAGTCATTCAATGGTATTGTGCGGTGTGGACCTACAAACGAAGAAGAAAGTAGATTTTTATAAGGAAAATAAGTTTCACATATATATTAGTAGTTGTTTATTTTGTGAATGATAAACTGAAGGTCTGTAAACTGCGGCTGTCAATAAACCACTTCTTCCGAGTCTTCTATCTATGAAGTCTACTATCCACTGTCTATGGATGATCTGTAGGACTTCGTCGTTCTTGTCGAAGATCTTTTACCTATAGGAGAGGTGTTGAAGTTTTGTAGGATCCTTAAAAACCTGTGGAAGTTTTTTTTTTTTTTTTTTTGTTTTTGTAAAAAAACAATGCAACTTCATTATAAAAGGCTGAGAGTAACATATCAAATTTTTTTTTGGAAGGCCTTCTTTTTATGGAAGAACAGTTGAAGATCTTCTATCAACAGAAGACCTATCACAGATCCATATATATAATACCATTGAAGGTCAGCTAAAAGTCTTCCGCCTAAAAAAAAATAGTTGAAACTCTGCAGTATTTGACAGCTCTGTTTCTCTCTAGAGGACCAAAATAATGTCTCGTTGATTTGTTTATGGTTCGCTCCTTATAAACAACATGTAAAGGCCTTCTGACTTTTAAATGATATATAGCAGATCTTTTAACAATAGAAGACCCGTAAAAGGGTTAAAATCAACTAAAAACCTGGAGAATACCTTCTGTTTAAATTAAAGAGCTTATTAATGCTTTCTGACTATGGAAGTCCTGTGGTCGCACATGATAGAAAGGCTCCAAGGAAACCAAATAAAAGGCCTTCTGAACATATCGCAATATTTCATGCTGCAAATATTGAAAAATGAGCTCGGGGTAAACCCATTTAAATGCCAAAAATTGCAATTACTCACACCGCAACAAATAGACTCAAACGAGCTAAAGATTTGCTTAGCTGAAAATGGTAAACTACCGAATTTGGTTTTCTCCGATGAGAAAACATTCATTGTCCAGCAGTGAACAAACAAAATGATCGTGTTTACTTGCCAAAGAGATCAGCTAGAAATGTGCTACTTCGGTTGGCCACCAGGTGATGGTGTGGGCCGCCATAACAGTCGATGGTCGCTCTCCCCTCGTATTAATCGACCGTGGCAACAGAATAAATATTATCGAATACTATCGCGAGGGTGCATTAAAGTCCTGGGGACGCAAACAGTTTGGCGCAGACCTTTGAAAATTCCAACAGGTCTCAGTACCATCGCACTCAGCACACGCCACCCAAGAATGGTTACAAAATTAGGTTCCTCGCTTCACTTTCAGCGCACAATGGCCACCAAAATCTCCGGATACCAATCCACTGGACTATTGTGTCTGGAGTATTTTGGAAAGCAAGGTTGGCACAAAATAATACCAAAGTATCCATCACCTCAAGCAAGAGCTTCGCCAGGAATGGGCCAAAATACCGCCGAGCAACATTCGGGCAGCGTGTGACGGTTTCATTGGCCGTTTGAAGGCCATAATTCCTGCCAAAGGTGACCAATTCGAACAAATCTAAACTTATTCTAAAATTTGATGCAGTTTCCGACATTTTTTGCTTTCAATAAAATTTAAAAAAAAAGTAAAAATTATGACGTTTGACTTTTTTGCAGTTTTTTTTATCTCACCCTGTATATATGTTTCATCCGATTTGGATTTTAAGTCCCTCAAAATCGTAATATTCACTCCACGAGAATGACCGTTGGTACCAGATATCAGATACAGCTCTGAAAGAAGTACCTAAAATTTTGTCAAAATCGGTTCAGATGTGGATATAGCTCCCATATATATCTCTTTATCTGATTTCAGGTTTATTGTGCACCAAATGACTAACATCAGCCCAAGTGGACTGAATTTTGGCACTTTCGACGAAATTCAGCACAGAAGTCAGTACTTCAACTTTTGGTGAAAATCGGTTTAGATATAGCTATAGCTCCCATATACAAACCTCATGCGATTTGGTGTTAAAGTCCCTCACTTGCGTAATATGCACTTCACAACAATGATATTTGGTACCAGAAATACCTCTGCCAAATTTTATCGAGATCGGTACAGATTTTTATATACCTTCGATATACATCTTCATTAGATTTTATGGTTATTGTCCACCATATAGGTAATATCAGCCCAAATTGCATAGGTTTTTTTTTCATTTTCAGCTGATTTGTTCCTTTTGGTGATACTCGGCTCGGTATATCTATTGCTCCACTAAATATTTTTATACCCTCCACCATAGTATGGAGGGTATATTAAGTTTGTCATTCCGTTTGTAACACCTCGAAATATACATTTTAGACCCCACAAAGTATATATATTCTTGATCAGCATAAAATTCTATGTCGATTTATCAATGTCCGTCCGCCCATCCATCCGTCCGTCTGGGGAAATCACTCTAGCTTTCGAACGAAATGAAGTAAGTTGATAAAAATTTAGTCAAATGTGTATTATGTCTGCAGGGCTTTTGGTATTGAAAATGCGCTATGTAGGTCCACGTCTTCATATAGCCCCCATATAACTGTACCCCCCCGATATTCGGTATTTTGATGATTTTAGCAACATTATTTACCGGAATTGTTTCAAATTTTGTATCTGAAGTTCGCAATTGAGATGTCGTATTTGTAGTTTGTAATGGATGCTACAGCCAGTGACTGAAAATTGTCTATGCTTGACCAGGTCTTCGCACAGCTCCGATATAACGGTACCTCCCTATATGCGATATTTTGATGATTTTAGCTACATTATTCACCGCTGATTTCAAGTTTCGAATTTGAATATGGTAATGGCTTATGACAAACAATGCCAATGTAGGTCCACGTCGTAAAGACCCCAATATTATGGATATATTCGGTATTTTTAAAATTTTAACAGAATTTTATTTTTTGAAAATTTTCATATTCATTCCGAATGGTGGTGGTTGAATATAGCTCCCAAATTTTGGCTACTCTAAAGCCATGATATGCATTCAAATAAGGTTCATAGTTAGTATGATCTACTTCACATAAATTCCCAATATATTTTTTTTTTACGAGAGGTCTACTAAATTCACATAGAAAGTCGGTGAGACCGACTAGTTCGATTTTTGACCTTTCCTTACTGGTTTATAGCATTATCTGTCGTCCATTAATCTATGAACTCTTCAGAATTCAAAAAACCGCCTTAAAATTGTATGATCCCTTTTTAGATCATCCAAAACACCTCCCTCTTCTTCTTTTCAAAAAAAACTTTGTCAATTAACTCCACCACCCTCTTTTCCCAGTTTGTCTAGACGTATCGTCTTGACCCATATGCTTTCAATAGCGGCGACCTACAAAACATTACCCCTACATCGATTTGAACAAAATGTAGATTGAACCCATTTATCCATCCATCAGACAAATTGAGCAATTTTCTGCATTGTTCATTTAAATCAAAAATTAATTTCAAATTTATAATATATCCATTGTTTATATTTCTAATTAACAACCACTTTATCAATGACATACAAACATATGCACTCGACTGCAAATTAATTAATTAATTTTGTATTTTTTTTGTTTTTTTTTTTTTTGCAGATTTTATTTTCTGTACAAAAAAACACACATTTTTTGTTTCAATCCAATTGCTTTCGTTATTTTATGGTAAGTTCAACATTATCATCATCAACAACATTTCCAATACCACCATCATCATTATCGTCATTATGATGATCATCATTAAATCATTGTTATTATGTTTGAAATTAATTGTCTACTTGAGTGATTGCTGTGTCTTTTTGCTTTTCTATTTTTGTTTTCAAATTCAATATTCAATTACAACTTTTCAATTCAATGTCAGCTCAATTTTTTGTAATTGTATCACACGTTTTCAACACCAGCAGAAACAAACGAAAACCAGAAACAACAACGAACGGGTCTTAAAGTAAAGCAGAGCAAAACAATTTTGGCCAAAAACAAAATTAGATCTCCCACCGTTTCAATTGATGGATTTTCGAGTCAAAACGTCACTTTAATATAGCTTAATGACATATTGCATAATAGCGTCAATCATTCAGTCATCTATTGACGCACTCATTCACACACGCACTTACTCACTTATTCGATCGATTGACACTCCAAGTGTCGATTTAATTGAAATATTCCGAAACCTGAGTCTTATTTTGGGAACCTTTTTTGGTAATCATACCACCGGTCGGATTGTGAAATCCGATTTACCACCTCGCATACTTTGCCACGATGTCAATCATTCACATTCAAATATTTAGGAAATACAACTATCGGCCGTTGGGGTAATGTAATCCTATTAACCTTGAATTCTTGTAAAACGCACCGATCGTGATTTTGATGTCATTTGTCAGAGCTACGCAAAAAAATTGTTTTGTTTTGTTTGTTTTAAATTACAACTATTTAAGCTGGCCGTGACCAAAACGCCCATGATTCCATTTGTTGGCCATGCTTGTAATTCAGCAACAATAGAACAAAAACAACAAACATATTGCGGATTTAAAATGAATCCAAATGGTGAATTAGACAGCAATGGCAATTAAAAATTTACACAATGGTAGCATGAGAAACAGCCAGGACTTTTGAGGCTTTAGTTTTGTCACCAGACCTCCCAAACGACTTTTTACCGACTCCTATGACTGTTCAATGCCTTATTAATAACGAACGCTCTCTAGGCCAAATCACTAAAAAACTGCTCCCTGAGCTAGTATATATAAGTCTTTTGTTTATAAGTTCTCGAGGGAGCCTTTATAGATGACTTCTAGAGGCCGATATATAGAGGAAGCTCCCTTCGTAGACAATTTCTAAAGTGTGTTTTTCTCAGGTAAGCTCCCTCTATAAGTCCTATATAAAAGGCGACCTCTAGAACTTGTCTACAAAAGATTTAAATAGAATAGAAAATATCTCGAAGCTACCTTCATATATGTAGTTTCGAGAACTTTTCTACAAAATTTATCCTATAGAGCTAATCGAAATGAAATTGCTTCCAACTCCCGTATATAAATGGCGCCATCTAGACCTCACCTTTAAAAGGCATCTCTCCCAAAAATTCGTCTATAAAAGTTTCCTTATATAATTTTCTAAAATTGGTTCTTAAAAGACGACTTCTAAAAGACGTATACAGAAGGCAACCTCGATAACTTGTTTACAAACGACGACCTTTTATAACAGATCCTCTAGAACTAATGCAAATGAAACTACTTCCTACAATCGTCTATAAACGGCGTCCCCTAGAGCTTACCTGATATAAAAGGTCTACAAAATTATCAAACAATGACCAATATACTAGCATAGAGGCAGAGGAGCAGATGGAGCCATTATAAGCACAGAAGAACCTTCATAGAAAAAAATAGCGGTTTTTAATTACTCCCTGTAAAGCTCGTCTATATGAGACTTTTATTTATGGAAAACTCCTATTCGAGCTTCACGCAAGACCTCCTCTGGACCTAGTCTATAAAAGACGCGATTAAGTTCACATCCATTGAAGGCACCCTCAAAAACTCGTCTGGGTTGCCTATATTCGACGGACCCATGACTCTTTGGGCCCATTCCAATCGACGAGGCTTGTCCGCAGGCAACATTCTTTGCGTCAATTGAATTTTGTACGGGAACAAATGCAAATCAATGCGATTTGCATATTTTTATTTTTAATGTTTTAAAAGGACGTTGAGTTTTCACAATTGATTTCTTCTGTTGAATGTAAATTTCAACTATTTCAGAGCGCTCGCGTGGCGTGTATTGGTTCATGGTAAAAATCTGCTTGGACTGACGCTTCAAACGCGGTATGTCATTAAGCGATGTGACATCTCTGTCAAAAGTTATTTCGTTGCCAGATGGGTCCGTCGAATATGGACAACACTGTATATGAAAATTCCCTATAGATCTCGTAAACCAAAAATTCCTCTATTTATCGTCTGCAAAAGACTTCCTCTAAAGCTCGCCTGCAAAAGGACGTAACTTCAGAGTTAACCCAAACAAAAATACTACATCTAGAGATCTCCTACTATAACAACCTTACTATGGGTCGGCTACAAAAATTCCCCCTCCAGATGTAGTCTATAAAAGACTCCTTCTGGATCTGTTCTCCTACTGGATGTCGTCTCTTAGGAACATCCTCTGGATCTCGTCTCTAAAAAAACTCCCTTTAGATCTCATCTACAAAGACTCCCTCTAGATATCAACTACAAACTAGCTTACCAAAAGTGTATATCAGGTAATAGATGGCAGGCGACATAACAGAAATGCAATACAAAATTTTAGAAAAATATGTTATTCCTGTATCGCCGAAAAATGACGGAAATACGCGGGAAAAAATATCAGCTATGATAGACATGCTCTCAAAAATCTATTCCAGAGCATTTCCTTGTACATTGAATCGATAAACTCAACAACAACCCTTGAAAAGCATCAGCTCTGTTAAATTATAACATAATGCTATGTCACGATATCGTGACATTAACATATTTTTCCACTACCAACGCCATCTGTTGAAGAAAAATGACAATGTAATGTCCCATCTTATTATATTATATGTCTTTGCCAAAAGTCTCTCTCTAGGGCTTCCACTCTAGAGCTAAACCACAAAAATACAACATTTAGAGGACGTCTACAAAAATCTACCTCTAGATCTAAGCAATAAAAGACGCCCTCTACATCTCGTCTACAAAAAGAATTACTTTAGCTTTTGCCTGTAAAAGACTAACTCTTTAATTCGCCCAGAAATAGACTCGCTCTACAAACGATACCCCCTCTCTAAAGTACTCCCTCTAGATCCTGTCTTTTAACAACTTCCAGCATATTTTGTCTATAAAAGATTCACTCTTGATTTCTTCTTTCAAATATTCCTTTTAGATTTCGTCCATAAAAGACACCGTGTAGATCTCGTCTAACAAAGATTTCCTTACGCTACAAATAATACTGCCTCTCTAAAGTACTTCTCTAGATATTTTCTTTAAATAACTTCCACCAGATCTTCTGTATGAAAAACTCCCTCTGGGGTTCATCCTTAAAATATTCCTTCTAGATTTCGTCCATGGAAGACACAGTGTAGATCTCGTCTACAAAAGACTTCATTTATATCTCGTCTGTAAAAGGTAAATCACCTAAATACAATATCTAGAGGTATACAAAAAACCTACTTTAGTTCGCGTATGTAAAATACTAACTCTACTATTCACCCATAAATAGAATCACTCTATAAAAGATGCTCCCTCACTAAAATATACCCTTTGGATTCTATCCTTAAATCACTTTCACTAGATCTTGTGTATAACAGATCCCTCGTGATTTCATCTTTAAAATATTTCCTCCATAAAAGACACAAAATACTTCATTAAGATCCCGTCTGTAAAAAATAACCACAAAGATATAACATCTAGAGGTCGCCTACAAAAATCTGCCTCTAGACATAACCAATAAAAGACGTCCTCTTCATCTCGTCTACAAAAAGACTTACTTTAGCTTTTGGCTGCAAAAAACTAACTCTTTACTTCTCCCAGAAATTGACTCGCTCTACAAAAGATACCCCCTCTAGATCCTGTCTTTAAAAAACTTCCAACAGATCTTGTCTATAAAATATTTATTTTGGTTTTCTTCTTTCAAATATTCCTTCTAGATTTCGTCCATAAATGATACCTTGTAGATCTCGTCTAAAAAAGATTTCCTTACGCTACAAACAATACTGCCTCTCTTAAATACTCCCTCTAGTGTTTTTCTTTAAACAACTTCCCCCAGATCTTGTCTACAAAAGACAAGTTCAGAGGGAGAAGTTCTTCTTTAAAATATTCCTTCTTGATTCTGCCCATAAAAGACACCGTGTAGATCGCGTCTACAAAAGACTTCCTTTAGATGTCGTCTGTAAAATGCAAACCAAAAAACACAAAATCTACAGCTCTAGCCTACAAAAAAATCTCCATCTTCTTCTAACCTATAAAAGACGCCATCTAGATCTCGTCTATAAATATCCCCTTTTAAATATCCCCTTTGGAACTTGTTTTTAAACAAGATCTTGTCTGTAAAAGACTCCCATTGGATTTTATCTTTAACAGATTCCTTCTAGATTTTATATATATAGCACCCTCTAGATCTGTAAAAGACTCTCTTTTTCAACTCTCCCATAAATTAACTACGTATATAAAAGGCTCCCTCTGAATCTCGTCTATAAAATTGGCCGTTTAGATCTCATTTATAAAAAAAAAACTCCCTCTAGATTTCATCTACAAAATACACCGTTTAGATATTCTTTATTATAGACGCCTCTAGTTCTCGTCTATGGAAGGGTCTCACTAAAGCTTGTCTCATGTATTTATATGGACTCCTATCTGGTCATATTTAAAGACAAAAGGGGGAAAACCTTTAGGTTATGAGAAATTATTCTTACAAACAATACTGCCTCTCTAAAATCCTTGTAGATCTCGTCTAAAAAAGATTTCCTTACGCTACAAACAATACTGCCTCTCTAAAACATTCCCTCTAGTTTTTTTTTCTTTAAACAACTTCCCCCAGATCTTGTCTGTAAAAGACAAGTTCAGAGGGAGAAGTTCTTCTTCAAAATATTCCTTCTTGATTCTGCCCATAAAAGACTTCCTTTAGATGTCGTCTGTAAAAGGCAAACCAAAAAATGCAAAATCTACAGCTCT